AAGTTGTGCAATTAATTTCTCTATGTTTAGTAGAGATGGTCTCGCTCTTCTCAGCTGGTCTCGAGATTCGCTGACTTGAGCATCCTCCTTGGCCTTCCAGAGTGCTAGGATTACAGGCGTGAGCCACCGCGCCCGGCCTGGTTTTAATTCTTAATTTTTTTTCCCCAAAAAACCATTTACTTAGTGCTTGCTGGCTTTGTAACAGGGACTTGCTACATGCTGGCCAGAGGACTTGGTAACCATGAGATTTAGTGCCACTACTTTAAATGTTGACTTCTTCATTTTTAAGCATCTGCAGTAGATGCTTAATATCAAGTGCTTTGTTACACATATTTTGCTTAAAATAAACTATAATCCATAGTGTGGTAATAGCTGAAATAGTGGAACCAATTCATTCAATTTATTTTATGTAACTTCTGTCACCATAAAGGAGTTTTATACTAGTAAAGCTGTTTTTGATGAAATAAATCTTTGCTCTGTATGACTTCAACGAAATTCATCACTTGTTTTGACAGAGACTATGAGTATCTACGATGATATTGATTCTGATGTGCTGCAAAATTACCAAGAATACAATCTGGCTAACATCATCTACTACTCTTTGAAGGAGTCTACCACCAGTGAGCAGAGTGCTAGGATGACAGCCATGGACAACGCCAGCAAGAACGCTTGTAAGTACACAGTACGGAGGGTGCTAGCAGGAGCTCTTGTGCGCACACAGTGCCTCTCTGCTGAGAGGAGTCTGTTGTGTAGAAACTACCGTAGGCCGGGCGCAGTGGATCATGCCTGTAATCCCAGCACTTTGGGAGGCCAAGGCAGGAGGATTGCTTGAGCCAAGGAGTTCAAAACCAGCCTGAGCAACATAGCGAGGCCCCACTTCTATAAAAAAAATATTTTTTTTAAATTAGCCAGCTGTGGTGGTGTGTACCTGTAGTCGCAGTTATTCAGGGGTTGGAGGCAGGAGGATCGCTTGAGCCCAGGAGTTTGAGGTTGCAGTGAGCTATGATGATGCTACTGCATTCTAACCCAGGAAGTAGAGTGAGGCCCTGCCTCAAAAAACAAGACAAAACAAAACCTTACCACATGATTCTCTGCCTACAGGGAAGTATGTCTCACTCGATAGGTAGTGGGTTTGCAAGCACTATGAAAAGGTGTCCTATGGAAGACATGACAATATCTTCATAAAATTTTTTGAGAGATCAACTTTGGTACCCAAAAAGAAACTCTTATTTTTAAATTAAGCAACAGAAGTTATTAATTAACAAGTTGTTATTTTCTGGTTTTAGATTTTGTTGTCTCATCTTTTTGTTTTGTCTGTAGCTGATATGATTGATAAGTTGACTTTGACATTCAACCGCACCCGCCAAGCTGTCATCACGAAAGAGTTGATTGAAATTATCTCTGGTGCTGCAGCTCTGTAAGTCATCCCAGATTGTTGCCTTCCGAGAGTTTTTTTCTCATCTCCCTGTGACTGCTTGCTTAACCTTTGGATGCTTAAAAGTTTTCTGTTCTGTTTTGTCTGTTAAAGTTGAAATGATTCATTGCTGAATCTTGCATCCTTACTCTTAAGGATATAAAGATTGGACAAAAATGAGATCGCTTTGGTTTATTTTGATGTTTTAGCTGAAACAGTGAGGCTTAGTTTCTTCTATTTAGAGATAGGTATGTTGCCAGCTTTCACTTTCCTAAAGTATTGCAAACAAGGATGTGGATAATTCAGTATCGTTTATAAAATCTGTCTTTGCAATCTAAAGAATTATAAGGCTTTTTTAGTTACGCGTCTGGTTTTGGATTTGGTTTTAACATAAATCTATAAACCGTTGATGTACATAGTTGTACTATATTGGTTTTATATTTGTATTTTTCTTGTTTTATTATTTTTTATTGTTTTGTCTTTTTTCTCAAATATTTTCCATCTGCTGTTGGTTGAATCTGCAGATATGGAGGGCCAACAGTATTCTGCTTTCCTTAAAAAAATTTCTTGGTTGTTTAGAAATTTTAATGTTTGTGAAACATAGGTTAAGATAAGGGGAATTTTATTCAAAGAATCAAGGCGAATACCCACTCTATACAAAATACAGTACGAGGCATAGTGTTAAAGATGTTATCTTTCAAGGCATTTATATTCTAACAGGATAAGAAACATGTAGGTAATTATGATGAAAGATAAGGTATGTTATCTTTAAGTTCTTTCTTAATCTCCTAATTGGTTTCCAACTTTTAGCTTCCAAATCTTTCTTGAATCTTTCTCCTTCTTTATACCCCTTTAATGCAGATCCTTGTCATTTCTCTTCTGAATTAAAGTATTTTTTTGAGTGCCTCTTAAGTGGCAGAGCCTGTGTTAGACATTGAAGATGCAGTGGTAACAGTATTTGCCCTCAAAGAGCTAACACTCTTACCAGGAAAGACAACATTAAATAAGAAATTACAGCAGAACAGGGGTTGCCAAACTGTGGCCCTGAGCTAAGAATGGATTTTTCATTTTTAAAGGATTATTAAAAAGAGTGCCTGGGCAGCAGAGTGAGATCCCATCTCTTGAAAAGAGAGACAGT